TTTACAAACTGAACCCAACATTATCTGTCTCTCAATCCATACAAAGCCACCACATTTGCCTATATATTACGAATTCGGAAACTTACTAGGCAGCTCAATTTCAGGATGCTCGCTATGTTGCTCCTCTTGAGCTGCAGGCTCGTGAACATTCATCGATGTTTCAGATTCAATATCGATTACTTGAGTTTTTATGTCACAAGTGACTTGACTAGTTATAGTTCCACTCGCTGAGCCTAAGTGATGGCCATCTACATTCTGCTTTCCTTGAATTGCATTACAATGTACCTTTTTCGAGGGGATAGTTATGTTTATAAAATGCCGTAGTACCATTATAAACTCCTTATTGCAGCAATTTCTTCCATATATGTCAACATATACTTTTGAATTTCCAGCACATTGAAAAACTAGAAATTCACAAAGTTTTAAACCATTGTATACAAATTCCTTCCAACCCTTTCGGAAAAAGAACCCACCAACACTCCAAGTTCCAGCCAGGGTCCGAAGAAGGGACTGCAGAGGTTCCTTTCCATCAAAATGCATGCAAAACCCTGGCGGGATTTTCTGTAACGTAAGAAAAAACTACACAAAGAGCTACCGTAAATATTGATTCATGTACAGATTTAAATAATTCAATACCTTAACCACGCAGACCTGGGTTTAACCACCATCCTTTGCACTCTAAGTTTGAATCCCTTTCTCTTGTGGTTTAAATGAATTTAGTGTAATTATCCTATCGTTGTCAAAAAAGAAAAAAAGAAAAAAAAAAGCCTTAAGCAGTCTACAGATTTTTGGGATTAAGAACCAATTAGATTACAATAAACAGAAAACATGAAATTCAGGGAGACTAGATTGGACAAGTTAAATAGAATTTGTTAGTGTTTGATATTTTGGTATTTTGATTTATGGAAGAATTTGAAAAAGAGTGGAGGAATGTCCTTTATTAGATTTCGTGGAAGAATGTAAGTGAATGACACAGAATTTCAGTAGTTGTTCATTCCACTCCAATGAGCATATGAGCTCAGTAACGATACAAAAGGAAAGAGGGTTCTCTCTCTTACACACACCAATCTCAGCCTTAAAATTCATCATCCCATAAAACTAAGATAAGTGGCAGAGCTATGACTCTTGGACCACAAATACAAAATGTGAACCTCATTCATCCGAACTCAGATCCTCTCTAGATTTAATGATCTTAAACCTAAGGATCAAATGATCCAGACCGTTGAAATTTGATCCAACGGTCACAATTATTATAACTTTTAGGAGGCCATCTATTTGTAGCTGTTGGATCAAATTTCAACAGTCCGGATCATTTGATCCTAAGGCTCAGGATCATTAGATCTAGAGAGCATGTGAGTTCCATTCATCTACATGTCTTACAAGATTACGTGACAAAATAACAACAAAAACATACATACCATTCAAATTTCTTGAACACTAAAAAATTAGCAGAATCATTTACACTTCAACAGAATTACTCAGGTAATAATAAAACCATTGTCATATATATATAACAAAGGTCGACTGTTTGGGGAAGGTCGAACCGAGAGGCCTTGGCCTATGTGAAGGATCGGATAATGCCAAAAATTCAAGGATGAAAGCAATCTTTCCTCTCCTAAGCGGGCATGAAGGTCTTAATTAAAGCAGTAGCATAGGCTATCCCAATATACCTAATAAATGTGTTTTGTTTTCCTAATACTCATGATTTTCTGTGACGTTGACGCAACCCTTGCTAGATTCTAGTAGGGCCAAAAGGAGGGTGAACACCTAATTCATTTGGTGAGTTGGGAGACGCTGGGTATTTCTAAAACAGAGAGCGAAATAAGTTTTCGATACTTAAGCGAGTTCAACTTAGCACTGTTGGCAAAGCAGTGTTGGAGGCTTATTCATGAGCCCACCTTTCATTGGGCCCAAGTGATGAAGGCACGCTATTTCCCAAAGACTTCTTTCTTCGATGCCAAGCGTGGTGGTACAACCTCATGGGCCTGGTCCATTCTCTTGGCTCGAAGAGATTTGATCACCAACGGGGCCCATTGGCAAATCATGAACGGGGAGAACACACATTTGTGGGTGGACCGTTGGATTCCTTCGTTTGAACGGGGGCACCCCATCCTTTTGAATGGGGCTATTGCTAATCGAAGTCAGACTGTTTCCTCAATAATCAACCACCCTTCTTACAGCTAGATCATGGCGGATCGGTTAGTTTGGACGAATGATCGAAGGGGGAAATATTTGGTCAAAGCGGGTTATCACTGGCTGCATTCGGGGTTGCGTAAAGGAAAAACCAAACGACCTTCTTAGTCATCAGTGATTGATTCCTTGATTTGGAGCCATATCTGGAAAATGGATGCCCCTTTAAGATTAAACACTTTATGTGGCGGGTGTTACGCCAAGCGTTAGCCACGAAGGTAGACCTTTTCAAACAAAGGTGTTCTTCGTCTCTGTTATGCACTATTTGTGGTAACCAGGAGGAATCTATTAAGCATGTTCTCCTTTTTTGCCGCTAGGTTATCGGGTTGACAAAGGTACCATTACTACTTTCTATGAATGGATTGATAGGTTTATGAAGGTGGATAATGGATCCTTCCAAGATAGGTCTTGTCCTTTAACTCTTTTTGCCTTCACTTGTTGGCACATATAGAAGGCTCAGTGCAATGTGATCTTCAACAACACAAAGTCATCAGCCGTCTAGTCTCTCCATGTCATATCATATGCCACAAACTCCTATTTTGAGGCCATTGCTTGAAGGGCTGATGTGGTTGACCCAGTCCAACAGGTGAGCAAAGCTGATCCTAGGTAGTCTCCATCGGCCCCTCACGTGGTGAAGATTAATATGGATGCAAGCTGGATGGTTGGTCACCCAGCAACTTACATTGGTATTATGGCCCGTGATTGTATAGGGAGGTGCTTGGCTGTGCGGAGGCAAGAGATTCGAGATCCGAATGCTATTACAACCGAGGCACTGGGAGTTTTGGAGGCGGGGACACTGGCTTTGCAGCGTGGTATATCCAAACATAGTGGTGGAATCTGATTCTCTGGAGGTGATTTCGTGTCTGAATGGGAATTTTGAAAACTGCAGTTGGGAAGCTTTGCCTTCTCTCTGTCGCCTCCATGATCTTGAAAAAGCTTTCCATGCTTGCGTCTGGTCTTGGTTCCGAGATCAGCCAATGAAGCAGCAGATTATATTGCTACACATAAAGGTGCGGAGATAAGCAACTCTGTTTGGGTTGAAGGACCCACATCATCGTTAGTTGGTATTCTGAACAAGGATGGACTACCGTGTCCCCCTTGCTAGGTTGCTTAAGTAGGAATCAAGGGGATGACCTTGGCCTGAGCGCTGGGTCTCTATCTTCTCTCCTTACTTTCTCGAGATTATGTTTCTTTTGTTAGCCTATTATCGCCTTTGATTTGTCTCTTTTTGGCTTCGGTCCTAGTAATGAATTATCCAGTTTCTCCAAAAAAAAAAGGAAAAAAAGGAGGTAAATTTCAAGTTTCCTTTCTAGTTAGAACATGGGCCTTTCTTTACATAAAGTCATCTACAAGAACCTTGAAAAAGGAGGGTTTTTCTTCTTCTTGTTCCCATCACGATTTTCTCTTGATACTATTTTTATCTTTCCTTTTTTCTTCTCTTGTGAATTCTTTTTAGAAAAAACGTACTCTCACGAGGATAGGTGTAGCTGTGTCCCATAGAGTAACTTTCTTCTGTCAATTTCCTCCAAAAAACACAAACACCCATTTTTCAATTATCTTTTTCGACTACATGAAGTACATGAGATATTTTATCCTAGTCTACACTAAAGGGAATGAGGAGGTAGTGACTCTAAAGAAGAAGACTCTAACCAACATAACAATTTATTGCTTTCACTTTTTTTTATCAATTATCTTTTTTAAAAGTAAACTGTTGTTTTCTTCCCCAGTGATTCTAGAGAAACCACATTTTACAGACCATATGAATCATCACTCTAATAGGTTGAATCCGCCAATACGAATAGGCCTCACTTTTAGCAGAGAGATTCACATATAGTCTACACAATGTGGTCTCCATGGTACTTTCCTCCCCGTAATGAAAATTATTTATATACAAATAGGTCCCACATTTATTTAAAAAAGAAAACTTTAACGAAAAGCTCCTGATACTGTTCATTTTAACGAAAAATCACATTTGTACATTAAAAAGTCAATCATGGTATCGTTAAAACTCAAAGTTTTCAAACCGTTTTTATTAGTTTTCCTTTTAAAAAATGGTTCACATGTAGTCTATAAAATATTAAAATGTGGTCTTCATGGTATTTTCCTTTCACTAAATGAAAATTGACCATGAGTTGTTTTCATACAAATAGACCCCACTTTTATTACAAGAATAATACATGTAGTTTACAAAATGTGATCGGTATGGTCCTTTCTCTCCAAATGAAAATTAAGGACCTAACCCTTTTAAAAATAATTTTATAAATGTGAATGAACAAAATTGATTGCTAGATGAGAAACTGTTAGAATAGGAGTCTGATTTTCCGGAAGTGGCCATTTACCACAGTGATGGAAAAGTATTGAGCCCTTGCATGACAATATGGATTCGAACACTATCGATGACCAATCTAACATCTAATTTAACAAAACCTATCGTTTGATAAGAAAAAAAAAAAAAACGGAGTCTGATTTTTCTCTAATCCTACCCAATCCAACTTAATTATTTTTGCTCAATAAGATTAGTTTGGATGCAAAATCTTGAAACCCCAATTTAGTTGGACTGATGTCTAATAGCTATCAAAAACCCAAAAACAAAACTAACTTACATTAAATTAGAGCTTATTTGCACGAACAAAAAACAGAAAAATTGCACCTTCGAATGGAGAAATAATTCAATAATGCCCACCCATATTTGTCCATTTTTTCTACCTAGTATTGATTTTTCATCTTTAGGACATGATTTAGTTGATGAGATGTTTGAAGAGCAAACAACTTGGCAGGACACAATCTATCTAACATGAAGAGTGGCAGTATGTCCCCTTCTGTTCAATGAAACACATAAGGATATCGAAATTAAGTGGTTGATATGGTACATTACTGTTCTTTTAGACGAGCCAGTGGACAGGTGGTAAAATAACAACAAAAGACAAAATATACATATAGTAAACTGGCCTTGTAATACTTATGCTTGGCCTTCGTTTGCAGGAGGCATTTCATCAGAAGAAGCTTCATATATTATACTTCTATCTTGATTTCGTACCTCAAATTGATCCTCCGCTGCAGTTTGTCTTCCATAAAACTAAAAGAATAAACAATAAGACATGTCTGTGTTATGCAGAGGGCAGACATAATGGAGCAGAAATTCACTGCATAACAGATTGCTTACCTGGTGACAAGGTAGGACTCACAGCTCCTATCTTGCGGTGAAGAACAACTTCAAACAAAAACTCAATCTTGTTAATCAAGACAAAGACACATATATCACCAATTTCTAAACCATTGTCTTTCACAAATAGACTCCAACCGCTAAGGAATCTGCAGTGTCCAGCTACATCAAATCCAACTTTAACAGGCCAAATTCTCCCATCAGAAACCCGAAGGGTAGCATCAGAAGGCCTCTCAGTGAGATGTGCCTTGACAAACATACCTGGCAAAGCCTGAAAAAAGAAAAGCAGGAAAGAGTCGAAAGACAAACAAATTTACACAGAATATGTATGATTTTACGTTTCTCTGTACATGTACAAAATTATAAATAGTGAGTTTATTTTGATGGCCTAGTAGGGTTACTCCATAGAAAGCTTACCAGATAACCATAATGGGTATATGAGAACCGCAGTGGAACCTTGAAAAAAGGGTTTCGATATTCAAAACCATTGCCTCTCTGAAGAGTAACAGCATTCTCAGTTCTTGTAGCCCTTCGATGCATCGATAATTCATATTCTCTATCATTAGTTACTTCATCTTTGATTTGAATATTGGCATGAGTCGCACGACTAGTCCCAGTTCCATGAGCCAAGCCCTTTCGGCTTTGGTTATCTACATTCTGCTTTCCATGATTTCTTGGTGTCTTTCTGTGAACTGCATTGCCATGTGCCTCCTCATGAGGTCTGTCCCTCTTCCTAATAACCGCCACAAACTCCTTTTTGCATCCATTTCTTCCATATATGTCAACATAGAATCCCAATTTTTCATAATATCGAAAAACTAGGAACTCACAAAGCTGGAAACCATTGTCCTGCACAAATTCCTTCCAACCCTTTTGGAAAAAGAACCTGTCATTACGTTTTTCCAGACTAACAGGCCAAGTTCCACCTGGGGTCTGAAGATGGGTCTCTTGAGGTACCTTTCCATCAAAATGCACGAGAAAAGCCAGCGGGATTTGCTGTAACGAAAGTGATCAGGATGCACATAGAAATTAATCCTATGATCCAACTGGCAACATATAATTTACATCAAGATCAGCATACATAGCAAACTTATTTTCAGCCAACGAAAATTAAAAACAAAAGGCAAATAGTTAGAGCATCCCCAATGAGGGGCTCTATATGGGGCTGGAAAGGTGAATCAAAGGGACATAACTAAACAAGGGCATGCAGGAGACAGGGTGTGCGGAAATAATTTCCTAAAATCTACGCAGGGATCTATGGTAGATATGGGATGCCATGTACATATTTTATCACAAATAAGGAGAAATTTATGCCCCGATCCTTTGCGGTTGCTTGGTATCCTTCTTGAATCCAATTTTTTTTTATTTTGAAACTAATGAGTATTAAGTAATTTAGCTACATTCGTCATGTTTGAAAACAAAAAATAGGATCCAAGAAGGATTCCAAACAGACCTTAATTATTTTACAGATTCAATCGAAGTTATGATTTTTTTTCCACTGCGCAGGATGAAATTAGAAGAGGATTAAGACCACTTGGCTAATAATTAGACTCCATAACATGAAACTTGAGTGCTGTAAATACTGTTTACTCAAAGCTATTAGGTTCGAATCGTGGGAACTCCAAAGATTATCCACTGTGATATAACAAAGCAATTTTTTTTTCTGTTGACTTCCGGTAAATAATTAAAGGAATTTTCTTTTCTGTTTTTATTTTATGTAAAGTGTAAAGAGAGAGTAGATAATAGGAGGGCGCTGCTGGACTTACCAACTGGGTGGAGAAGTCATCTACAAGAACCTTGAAAAAGGTGGGTGCTCTTACTGCATTTGATCTTGCCATCATCATTTTCTTCTTCCTCTTCAGCGTTTCTCTTCTGAACGGAGAAATGGTCAAAGACTCAGAACTGTCCTTGGTTTGGTGTGTGTTGAGCATTTCAAGGAATCTGTGTTTATGTATACTTTCCGCGTAATGCTACGGTGACAAAATTTTAAATTAAATTTATAAATAAAATGATGTGTCATAAATAAAATATAAATACATAAATTGACACTTCAATTATAATTTAATCATCAACATCAACATTATTCGATTTGTAAAATTAATTTAAAAATTCGATATCCCTAACATTAATCATAACTTTATGAATACTTTGTTAACTTTTTCTTTTCCGAGAGGTGGACACTTGTTTACCTAGCATTATCTCTTGCGATATGATGCACGTCTTACGGCGCAAGATTTTTCTTAAAACATCATGTGATTGATAGCAGCATTATGAAATGTGGTTAGTGTTTTCTTTATGGGGATATAAATACGGAGATGTACATGTAAGTTCCCGAAGAATTACATGGACTGGTTCAAATAGTTCCAAACCACGGAACACCCTCTTAACTTGTTTGAGGCGTTCACTTACAATCCGACGGATGTGGTATACCTGTTTAAGTGATTATCTAATCAGTCAGGGATGAATTATGCCCTTGCGTGTTAAAACTATGAAGTCTTATTTCGAATTGCTAGAGTTATAGTTTATGTCGTTGACACGAATCTCACTAAGACTTCAGAAGAGCTTGAGAAAACTGCCTCGCACCTAAAGATGAAATTTGAGATGAAGGATCTCAAATAATCCTTACTCTCACAATAGAGTATTCCTATTAAGATGAACTGTTCAAAATGACAACTGAAATATAAAACACAACATATAAGATTCTAGATTGATCTTTCGAACGGGATCAGGAGTCATAACAATGGAGGGCACAACATATAAACGCAACTTAGGGGTATTTATGTTTGCACATCATTAAATTTACAGACACTTCTTCCTGTGCTCTTAATACTCAATTCAACTTGGTAGCAGTCACTCATGGTGCAATATTCAGATTCAGATTCAGTCGTCTCTTTCAGTTATTCAAGTTGCAAGTCGCAGCATTCTATCCGCTGCCGGGAAATGACAACATCAAACAAAGGTTTGGTGGTGTTAATCACAGTAAAGACACACTCATCGCCAATTGCCAAACTGTTCTCTCGGACAAATTTCTTCCAACCTCCCAGCAACCTGCATCTTCCGGTGTCGTATTGTTCGAATTTGACACGCCAAGTTCTTCCACCCGAAACCCGAAGGATGACATAACCAACAGTCCGGTTAAGGTGTTTCTTGATAAACTGGGATGGCAAACTCTGAAAAATAAAAAAAGAAAGGGGAAAAGCAGTAAAGTCAATAACAAAATTTAGGAACCAATGCGTATGATGGCCTTGGGATGACAATTGCATCTGCTAAATTCGTTATCCGCGGTATCCCCAAACGGGGTGACGGCTCTATAGAAAGCTTACCAAGTAGCATCGATATAAATATGTGCGTGTCATAACAACCTTGAGAGGAGGGTGTCGATCAGATTTGAAACCACTAGCTCTCTCAAGAGCTGTGGCATTTGCACTTGCAGCTGGAACATTAGCTTTGCCTGTTGAATTAATACAATAAGGATATTAATTACAATTTAGAGACTGAGAACATAATGGCAGAAAGCACAAGGAGGTGAAAATGGAGAACAAAATTATGTTCTCTAGTTTCACTTCCGATCTGGACAAATGTGGATCTCTGCTTTTCGTTGTCTTCTCAAACATCATTTCGTACTGCTGAGAGTTTCTAATTAGTCTGATTGATGTGGAACCACATTGAACAAGTTCGATGTTGGTTTTCGCCTTACCACGTGAACTTGGTCTGTTTTTCTTGCGAGGTCGGGGACAAGACAGTAGAGATTTCTCCCTTGTTTTTCTTGGGCAGGGTGTATGATTATCCCCGATTTCAACAGAACCAACATCCGAATAATCACCAGACTCATGATAGGAAGTATCATGGGAATCATCACTGGATTTTTCATCTTCATCAGCTTTTTCCGCTGTATTTTGTAGTGGATAGTCTATCTCTGTGCAGCTTCTCTCTAATATCCGAACCCTGAATTTTGAATTCCCTTCATACCCAAAAACCAGCAAGTGACCGTAATCCAGAGAGTAAAAACTAGAGAATTCCTGCCAACCATTCTCAAACCAGACCTCACCATCCCATTTTCGAAGTTCTATTTTCCATTCTAAGCCACTTGGAACCTTGAAAAATACTGGATTTGACATATTGTCTCCGTATTTCGTCACAAATTTCGGTGGAATTTTCTGCGCAACAGCGAAAGTTTCAGTTTTTGGTCTTTAAGTATAAAACACTCATCTTTTTCGGGCAAGAAATTAATCAACTCATCAGTACTATCTAAGCCTAACAACAGTAGAGATTAATCACCTCAATATGATCTAGGCCTAACTACAACAGAAAACATGAGAGAGAGAAAGAGAGAGAGAGAGAGAGAGAGAGAGAGGTTTACAATTTTCTTGTCTCTGGAAGTGTCATTGAGAATGATCTTGAAGAAATGAGGAACGGCAGGGGGAAATGTCGGGCGGTCATCGATTTCTCGGGGTAGAAAAGCCATAGGTGCTCCAAAGCTTATGAACAAAGTGCAGGATCTACTAGATGGAATCTGATGACGAAGTACCAAGGAAAAGGTATACAAGAGGAGGTCTGCAATTATGTAATTGGTAGTTGAAAGTAAATGATTTATTCAAAGCGGCCAGCAGCTCAACGTCATTTTCTTGATGGAATCAGTAAACTTGGTTTTTCTTTTACAAATTATGGAAGGAGTGTATGCAGTCTGGTTTCCTTAATCTGCAATGCGTACTAAAGTCACATTGTGCAGAAATGGAAATCTCAGAAGAAAGAAAAGATAAAAATGAAGGACCGCAGTGCTGGACAGGTACAAGTTTATTTCCATCAAGCATGTTGCGCATGCACGCTCGTAACATCATTTTTCTTCTATATATGGTGGAATATTTCCACTAGCATTAGTATTTTTCTTTCATTCTTATAGACCTCATTAACAAAAAAGATGTTACAACATCCAAAGTTAAATCTTTTGAACGAGCCTTTTTTAAATTAAACAACGATGTATCATGGAAAAAGTCTAATAAGTTAAGACATATGTGAACTAAACATGATATATTTAAGTAAAAAGTACATTGTCCAAATTCGTAACCTTGACCTTAAAAAGTATCCATATACAAAACAAATAATACCCGAAGAAAACAACAATTCAAACCCTTGCAGCTCAACACATATTGTCACCACGCAAGCGACTCTGCACATCGACCAACGATCACGCAAAACACCAGAATTACATTTGACACTGCCAAAGCACAAAAGTGACACTACAATATTAATAGTAAACACGTGATGTTATTTAAATACACAAAACTGACATATTTGTTGATTGACACTCTAATACATGCAAGAGTGTCCAAATAGTTTTATGCTAGTTTTACGAATACTAAACAGCAGCAATGCATATTTCATTTTGTTAGTTTGATATAGCTAATAATTACATGAAAGGTAAATTTTTGTGAACAAAAGGAGAATTCAAAAACCAATTAAAAGAAAAACACCATTACATCACGCAATTAAAGAAAGGAGTCTGAAAATGTCCTTGGCTAAGCGAAACAACAAAAAAATAGAAAGCCATAAAAACCAGTGGTACAAGGACATTTCACCAAATTGTCAAAGTTAGATATACTGAAACTTGTGACTTGTGAGGGTGTCTTCAGAAGGAACTCAATTTAGAATTTTGTCCCAGGCTCCCAAAAACTCAGGACCAGCTCTAGCTTTCGGACTCCAACTTGTTCTCTTTTTCTTGTGGAACTGCGGTGCTATTGGATATCTCCCCTCCGATTTTGGGCAGGGTAGAAAATCACCTTCTTCTATCTGAAGCACTGTTTTTTCCCCATCATCATGGGCTCGGAAAAGGACGACATCAAACAAAGGTTTAGTGTTGTTGGTATTCAACACAAAATCGCACACATCATCCAGTACCAAATTATTGTCACGCACAAATTCCAACCAACCTCTACAGAAAGTGAAATTGGATTTTCCTTTATCGTAATTCATACAACAATTAATTTGGATAAGCTTGGACGAATGCAAAAAATGCAATTAAGTCGACGCTGGACAAAACAACCTTTGGCAATTCCTCTTCTCCCTCTGCAAATTTCACCCCTGCTGGCGGAGTGGGTGTTCGGGATTTCGAAGAATTGCAAACTTTGTGGGATGTCAAAAGCTAAGTTGAGAATTGCGGCGTAGCAAAGGTGAGTGCGAGGGATTGAATCTGAGAGGTGTCTCTTTTCGCGACCAGCTGATTGCAGCCGTTCGATCCGCACAGGGCCACCCATTTGGGCTTAGGACTATTGAATTTACACAAAAGTCCTCACTAACGGGTGTTAACGGATGGTTAACGGGTTTCACGGGTTCACCCAACATGACCCGTTATTTAACGGGTGATTAACAAGTTGACCTGTTAACCACCCGACCCGTTTATCACTCACTCGAATACTAATTTTAACGGGTCGTGTCGGGTTAACGGATCGGATTGAAAATGTTAGGTCTACTATGAACACGGCATCCCAAAAAGAGAAGAAAGAGTCTTTAAGGATTGTCTGGCACCTCACATTTTTTTTGAAAATTTTATTTGAACCCATATAACTTCTCTTTACACCCAACTTAAACTTCAAATGTGAATTGTCTTTTCTACCCTATTGCATAATTACCATCAAGTATAAGATGAAATTAACAATCAAATTAAAATGTACCAAATTTGAATCTTTTGGTAGCAGATATAATTGTATTCTACAACATTTTATAAAAGAAATTATATGACAGCTAAGCAAATGTCGCTAGAGAGACAAATCTTGAATGAGTTGTAGAACATTGATTTTGTGTTTTTATATTCCAAATGGGTGTAAAGACAAATTTATATATTGAATTGAGTTTGTGAGGGTAATTTAGTTAGTAAATTTGGGTTAAAAGAGATATTGATAGTTTAATTAAAAACTAGCATATGGGCACACACAAAGTGTGTGAGAATATTTTTTTTTATTTTTGTTTTTGAAGGACAATACTTGCATTCTCCTATATAGTCAATACTTACTACAAGCAGCTACATCCCAACGGACTGCTATGCTAATTAGCTCTATTTGTATGCGAATAAAGAGGAAAATTTCTAATTCTTAAAAAGAAAGATGGATCATATGCAATGCAGGTAAATTCGTATTACATAAATACTTAGTGCAGGTACAACTTCCAAAAACAAATGCAAAGAATCAATTAACTCGCTGAAAAATCAATTCAAAGAATGTAAAGAATTAATGTTACAAATCCTTCAACTTTAATATCATGTCAGCAGGTTAGTATGACATTCATGAATGTAATACGAATGCCATGTTACTGTATCACGCTTGATAATCCATCACAGTCAATCCATTTTCTTGCAGTGTAAGTTCAAACACGAACTAATGTCATTTGCTATACAATGTGCATCATGTGCAATGCCAAGCAATCCACGGCTTGAGAACCCAGCGCTGTAAAGACCATTTTCTGATTTCCAGTGATCTGGGAACCTCTTTTGTGGTATTCCATTGTCGTTAAAGTAGCAGTTGTCATCCTTCACAAGAAAACAATGAACAACGTTATTTGGACTGTATATATCATAAAGAGTAGCAATTCTTCGGTACATGCTAAGAAAACATTAGACATAAACGCATACCTTAAGCCAATTTAGAACGCTGCTTTTGTAGCCTGTAGCAAATATGATAGCATCGTACCAATTATAGATGCCATTTTCAAATTTGATTAGATTTCCTTCTATGCTTGTTATGGAAGGCAAGACCTGATGAAATTTTTTATCGATAGTTAATTATTTTAATTGTCAACAACATAAGTAAATGTTATAAATCTGCAACATAAAGAATGAAGATATAAATTATGCATTAAAAATTATTTTACCGTTATTTCTCTGGTTTTAATCTTCTTAATGCAACCAACGTCGATAGTGGGGGATCGACCCTTAGTAGCCTTGAGATAAAAAGGTCCCTGTTTTGGCTTTTGAATTCCGTACTTGGATAAATTTCCGTACTTCAATTTGCCTAATCCTACGACAACCATGTCGACTATTGTAACTGGGAGGAGTTTTAACAAAACCATTCCAAAGAACACAATTTCCTTGCTGAGAACATGTACCTGCGATGTTTACAAAAGTTTAAATATTAATGTACCTGAAATAAGATGATCGATACAAATTTGAGTGCACATTCAAGGAGCTTAAAAAAAAGGAACAACTTTAGTTGTCCTTGTGTGGGAGAAAAAGGCAGGCAGAAGTTTTACCGGGCTACGGACAACAATGGAAGTATTAGCTCCAGAATTCGACAAATCATAAGCAATTTCCATGCCTGAATTACCAGAACCAACGACCAAAACATTTTTCCCACCATATTTCTTGCCGTTTTCATACTTGATTGAATGAATGGCCTGCCCATTGAACCCATCCAAGCCACGCACTTGAGGAATATAACCTACGCTATTTTCACCACTTGCCACCACAAGAAACTTCCCAAGATACATTTCTTGTGCACCCGAAAGCGTGTTCTCGACCTTGACACACCATTTCTCTAAATCCACATCGTAGAAAGCAGACTTCACGCTTCGGTTGCACTTAGGGTTTATGTTGAATTGGGATACATAAGTATCCAAGTATTGAACAAACAAATTCTTGGGGACGTATGTAGGTGTATCTGAAGGGAAAGGCATATAGGGAAGTTCGCAAAATTGCTTTGCTAGGTGTAGCTTCAAACGATCATATGACTTTTTCTTCCAAAGAGAAGCATAGCAATCTTCTCTTTCGAGTACCGCATTTGCAATGTTAAGGTGATTAAGACACGCTGAGGTTGCTAAGCCGGCCGGACCAGCACCGACGATGACCACCTGCACTTCCTCCATTTCTATGTTGAATTTTGGTTAGGTGGTTTTGTCAAGTGACTGAAAGATTCTTGTTTTTGTTTTTCGGAATTTGATTCTGTGTACAACATATTACACGCTCAGGAATTTAAACCCAATAGTACAACACAAAGCCAACTTAGAATTACTAATTACAGGCAGGACTACTTACTCATTTCTAACAAATTTGTTGAATCAGTTGCAGCAGTACTGCGTATGAATAATTCCTGTCGTGTTTGGAGCACTTTGATGTGGAACCATGCGAACTTCTCCTGTCAAACAGTTTCGCTTTGCAAATGCAGCCCAGCCAGCAGATATGTAGTTGAAACGAGTTACGCCAAACAACATCAAATTCACATGCCAGGTTTCATATTAGCCTATAAATGATAGGACAGCTAATTTAACAAAAATAATAGAGAAAAGAGACAAATATAGTCAAACAATAAAATCGATGAGTTTTTGTAAATTGATGATTTTTGTTGATGATTCGGAGTTATAAATTTTAGTTTATGGCATTAATACATGGTTTTAAAAATTAGTACAAGAGATGATCTTATTTTTCATTTTCGCACTAAGGCCCCAAAAGTTTCAACTTTAGTTAGGTTGGCCGTATACCTACCACCACATATTTCTGAATACTTTTACTTACCACCACATATTTTTGAATACTTTTGCTTACCACCATCAAAATCTAAACTCATTCAATGATACTAAGTAGACTGGTAAGCAAATATGTACTCATGAATTGTTTGTGAAGAATTTGTTGGCAATATCAGTACGGCTCAAATATGAATTCGAAGGGCCTTTTTTTTTTCTTTTTTTCTTTTTTTTTTTTTATAAAAAATCCAAATGCCTTTGAGTTACATGGATGTCATTATTTTGCACTTATATGTAGTAAAACTAGTACAGTTTAATGATTATATG